TGTAAAAGTACCTGAGGTAGTTTATTACATGTTTAAATGGCATACAGAACCGTTAAATATTGAATTCCATTGGGAATATTTACAGCAAGGGAGGGATTTCCCATTTATACATATTTCTATCTCAAGTTATTCTTTATCGCCATCTATTGGTTACTTGATTTCATAATACCAGCTGTTTGGATTGAGTTAGGTGTAGCATCGGCCTCAAATTTAAGCATACCCAATATGGCAACGCTGCATACGCCACAATGAATGACATATATGTCATATGGATGTTTATTATTGTTCGAGATTCTTGCCGTTTGATTGTTGACGTGCTCTTGAATTCTTAACTTCTACAAAACAAAATAAAACGAATTAAACAACGAAAACAAGTGAAATTGGAATGAATATAGTTTTCAATCCTCCATTATACGAAAAGAACGCTTTGTGAAATAATTAAACCCTGTTTGAATGTCCGTAACATAAACAAACATTGAAATATTTTTATTGGTAAAATAAAAAAGTGACTGTGACAAGAGAAAAACATAACATTTTCTACAATGCATACGGCTGTATTTTGGCGGAATGGAGGTGACGTTCTCTGCTTATTCATATTTTATAATTAATTCTCATTAATTTATTGTTGCGTTAATCAAAAGAAGTTTAAGATCTCAAACAAATTTATATTGGTAAGCAAGCTGAACAATGCCACTGCTGCTGTTGTTGTTGTTCTTTAGGGTTGTCGTGTGACGTCTTATGGGTGAATTAGTGTGAGTTTGTGTTTGTTTTGGACTTAACAACAACAAACATACATCAACCCACTGGCTGCTACTGACTTATTGGCTGGCTGGCTGGTGCGATAGCAAACGGCGCACTCACTTTTTAAATGTCGATACGAAATATTCATTTCGTTATTATTTATTTCCATATGCAAAATATTATTGACAACGTTGTGAGCGTATCCACTCCACTTGTCTCCTTTTAGCCAAGGATTGGGCCTACGTGGACAGCGTAACACACGAGTTGCTACTTATTTGGCTTAAATATATGAGAGTTTAATCTTAAACTGAGTAAACAATGCTGATGAACTGCTATCTAATTTTATGGCAGTCACATTTTTCGTGTATATTTTGCAAAAAAAAAAAGAAATGAATACGAAGCGAGGAGATAGAGTAATGCACAAAATTCTAATCAAATTTACAGTCTGCTGTCATATTGTTTAAATGTTCAGTAACTTGGTTAAAAAGGCTGATATTCTCTTGGTCCAAAACAACTAACTTCAAATACCTCTTATCAGTAATGACCTATTTTGGATTTGCCCTTTTTTTTTAGCTTTTTTTTTTTGTTATTTTAGACAACTGTTTTCACAGCTGGTGGCCAAAGCAAGCAGTCGAGTGTAGGTGTTTTTAAATATTTATTTTAACAACCTGTCTTGCACGTTGTCGTTACAATAAAAATAAAATGTCATGTGCAAGGTTTTGTGTTCGTCCCCTAATTAGCCCTCATCTATTTTCAGCCATTGTAGCGTAATCATTTATTGGATATTAAAACAAATTGTTGTCGTATGACGTTAAGGAATTATAACCGACTGTTGACCAAGAATTGATGGATTTACCATGGCAACACAATATTTTCATTAAAAAAGAATCATTACACACAAATGTACTGTATTTATAAACGATTTCAATTTCCGGCAATACTCATTACTTGATGCTTGAAATGTTTCTATATTTTGCAGAATGTAGTGGACAATCCGCAATGGTCGTTCGTATTCCTCCATAACTCGCTCGCAACAGTCGATTCCTCATTTAAAGTCAAAAATTGAATTTGTCTATAAATGCCCCAGCATCATAAAATATGTCCTCAATTGATGTTGCCATTGGATCATTTAGTTTCCTCTCATTTTAGTTATATTTATTACGGAGACAAAATTTATTCTTTGCAAAATGGATACGCTTTTCCATCCCTAGGTTATCTACCCACTATGAACTCAAACTCCCAACATAATTTTTTGTAGGGACATATGTTTGGTTGTACTCCTTAGGGAGAACCTCCTTCAGTGAGCATTGATAAAGTCCAAAGAGTTGAATTGTTACTAATTACAGGCGCGTTTAGGAGCACACCCTAATCCGCTCTAGGCACTCTTCTCAATTTAAAACCGTTAAGTTTATTTGTAGAGGAACAAGCTGCTAGGTGTGGGAAACATAGTAAATCAGGCTATAGCTAGCGATTATATACCATTTAGGCACAGCTTTGAACTAATTGATATAATAACGGAGACATCTGGGCCCGACACCCCACCTTTTAACGGTATAGCTGTCTATACTGATGGGTCAAAGATGGAAAGTGGAACGGGAGCTGGGGTTTACTGTTTAAGTCTAAGTATCCAACGATCCTTCAAAGTAAACAACGATTGTAGCGTTTTTCTCGCAGAAATCTTTGCTGTCTGGAAGGCAATAGAGCTGCTAGTAAATACAATTAATGAACTGATCGGACCGGGGACTATATGTATCGATAATCAAGCGGCCCTAAAGGCTCTAAATTCATTTACAATCAAATCTATGGCAGTTCTGGAAGGCAGGAATGCTCTGGAAAAGGTTAAATCGTTTGTCAAACTCTGTTGAGTCCCTGACCACTGCAACATATCTGGCAACGAATCAACGGATGAATTGGCTAGACGCGGATCTGAGTCAGTGACGACACTGAGTACTGCAGGCTTTGTCAGGACGAGGAAGAAACTGAGACGGTTGAGCACTTACTCTGCCACTGCCTAACTCTTAAAAGAGTGAGACAGAGGCTACTGGGTAAGCAAATTCTGCCAGCCTTGTCCTCCCTCTCCGACATCGAGCCAACAGTCATTCTTCAGTAAGCCAGAGGACTAACCGTGGATGCAAACCTATTAACTTCTCTACTCTTTATTCAGATTTTCACTTCTTCACTATTCGCTATTCATTTCCTTTTCTTCTCTCTATTCTATTCTCATATCTTCTTAATTAGGATGAACACAATGGACCAAAAGGTCTCCGAGTGGACTGGTTGTTTATACAACCGCGTTTCCTTTAACCTAACCGGAAAATACCGGAAATTGGTCGGTATTTTAAAAGGAAGTGTTTTAAACGGCACAATAGGTTTAAGCTTATGTTCTCCAGGACTTCTTCGCCACTATTGGAATGACCCAAATTTAATTAAGTAACTACCACAAAAACTCTAAGCTACAATCAAATGGTAGGGAAATATGGAAAATGCCTAAAATCCGACGGAGTCGTAATGTGCAGAATTTGCCTGAGAGATAATCGACAACAGAACAGTGTGGCTTGTTTGTTCGGGATACCGTAGTATTTTGTTGTTGCAAAATGGTCAGGCTTATCCCTTTATTGTTGTTTTTATAAAAACAACGTTTGTTTTTTAGTGGAGAACGATGGTAATGTTTACCAGGGGGTAAGGCATGGAATACCTAGGTTTCGGAAAGAGCCACCAATCCTCATCAGTTCCCTTGTTTCCACTCGTTCTCCACTAATAAACAAACGTTGTTTTTATAAAAACAACAATAAAGGGATAAGCCTGACCATTTTGCAACAACAAAATACTACGGTATCCCGAACAAACAAGCCACACTGTTCTATTTATAGACATGGCACGGTCGACGAAGGGGTTTTTGTTGTAACAGACAAAACCAACTTACATGGTTATGCTACTTCGTTCAGGTTGAACGAAAGCATAACAAGTGGAGAAAGATGAAAATGTTTATAAGTGCGGTTGTAAGATTTAGAAGACTTTCCAAAAGAATTTTAGTTTTATTTAATTCTTTGGTTCCTCTTCTATTGAGCTTACGATCTCGTCACTTGGGTAAAAAATTTTTTTGTCATAGGAGTTATTTTAAAATAACTTCTGGGGAGAATATCCCAGACAAAAAACAAGGGAACTGATGAGGATTGGTGGCTCTTTCCGAAACCTAGGTATTCCCTGCCTTACCCCCTGGTAAACATTACCATCGTTCTCCACTAATAAACAAACGTTGTTTTTATAAAAACAACAATAAAGGGATAAGCCTGACCATTTTGCAACAACAAAAGATAATCGACAACTATACTAAACATCCTATAAGTAAGAAAATACTTTGCTGTAGTTTGTTTTCGGAATTTACCAAAGTAATAGTCCTTGATTGAGTCAATCTTTGCTGTTCCGGATAGTAGGTCTGTCTTAGGAAATACATTGTTCAAGAGTTACTATAATCAATTATGAAATCAATGCTAGACTGCCTTGGGCAGACAATCAAGACAATAATGACATGTTTGTGGTAGGTTTGTGTTAAAGCTGTAGTTTATCATCAGATTTTAGTGCTTTTTAAGAACTAAGTCTTTATGAGGGACTGTCCTTCAGCTGAGTTTCACGTATGGATATATTCCAGCACGAAATGCGTAACAACATATTTTAAAAAGAAAAGACGATTAACATCGATTAATATCAAAATTGCCTTGATTTGTCTCAAAAATCTTTCCGAGTTAGTTTCGAAACTTTGGAGCGCATTACCACGAAAAGTACGAAACTCCGAAAAAAAAACTATACTTTTGTAAACTTTGATTATTAATCTGCAAGGAACCTAAACGCCTTTTGAAGTTAGATAAATATTGTAGTGTCTTGTTTTCAGACCCACAAACATAAATGTATACATATAACAATTAAAGAACGCTATAATTGAATTGTTTCGATTGGGAGTTGAGGGTAATTGAAAATACTTGTATTTTGTCATTTCTGTCCAAAATAAAGTTTTAATTTAAGTGTTTGTTTTGTTTTCAAAAACACTCAAACAAAAACCTTCAAATATTAATTCTTATCTTATCTGCATAATAACTAAACAAAACCCAAAAAATATCATATATTTTTAAACTTTAACGAAAAAAGAAAGGCTTTTTATAATTAAAAGATAAAAGCAAAAAAATAAATAATTTAAAAAGATATATACGTCATAATGAGATTTCTATAATCAAAATACATATTCTTTTTTTCTGATGCTACAGATATTTTGGATAGTTTACGTCCTGGTTCACCAAAGCCGGGCCATATTGAACGCGTCGATCCAGCAGGTCGTGCAGATGGCGGTAATGATCCGGTCATTACACAACGTTTCCTTAAAATCAATGTACGTCACATCACCGATGGCCAGGGTGTTGTGGGCGGAGTTCTATTGGTAACACCAAATGCTGTTATGTTCGATCCCAATGTCTCCGATCCATTGGTCATCGAGCATGGTCCAGAAAGTTACGGTGTTATAGCACCAATGGAATTGTGCGTAAATGCTGCCATATTTCATGATATTGCTCATATGCGGGTATCGGGTGGAGTCACAGTTGACTCCGATGCAACAGAAAAACCTGAAATTTATTATCCCAAATCAGTATTAGATGCCCAAAAGGCCAAAGAAGGTGGAGAAGAAGGTGCAGATGCCGTAGACGGCAAGAAATCGTCGGAGGATGATAATGAAAAAGACAAAGAGGAACAGCAACAAGAAAAAGTTAAAACTGATGACCAAGAATCCATTTGTTCGGAGGTAGTAGATGTTGTCAACAGTAATTTTGGTCAATTTAAAAATGATTTGTTTTATTTGCAGAAGCATGATGAAAAATCTACGGAAGCCAAAGAAAGTTCGAAGACTGATGGTGATGGTGCCAGCACTGGTACCAACGAGACCGAGGATGATGAAGCCAAAAAAAATCTCAACGTAAGCGATTCTCGTAGCACCTTAGAAGAGAGGCGTAAAAGTCTATTGGATCATCACTGGGCAATACCCAGTAAAGATAGGTATGTGTACATCGATGTACCGCTCAACATATAAAAGGAAATATTGGTTTGGTTTACGTTTTTTTGTATATTTATTTATACTAAGTTTTCATCTGTTTCATTTCGTCATTCAATTTAATTATGAGTATAGCACATTTTTATGACTCCAGAATTAGCTTAATAATTTATAACTTCTCTGCATTGCATTCAAATATTGATGAACATAATTTATAACTCATGGGGTGGTTTGACGTAAATCATTAATTTTTTTAATCAAATGATGTAGGCACTTTAAACATCGATACACACAAAAGGAAAAAAACTAAGTAAAACTAGAGCGATGGGATGCTATGCTTAAATTATAACGAGTTACTCCACTAAATATATTATTATTATTTAAATTTTTTAGATTTCAAGTATATTTGTATTGGGGTAAATATAGATTTTGGAATACACGAACGTTTTGTGATGTATTTTATAACATTCATCCTGGTTTCCAGGGATAAACAAAAGATAAAGCTGTGCACAAGATTGGGATCATTGCATACTTATTTTTTTATGACTGAGGAAGAACTGGCCATTGGCTCCTACTGTAAAAATGCATGAACCAAGCATCTTATTCCCCATACAGATACATGTTTATTGAAGAATTCTTATCATTGAATTATTAACCATTTTTATGTGCTATTAATTTAGGGAGACAAGCTTGACCTATTGACAAGAAGATAGATTAAAATGTTCCCATCTACATTTTAGTCCGGCTTCTTTCCGCATTCGGTCCAAATCTGCTGAAATTTTGAATTCTGATTCCAAATTCCTTCCGATTTTGGTACAAAAGTTGTAAGGACGTGTTTTTAGAATTCAGAAAGTTTTTTAAGAAATTTATAAAAAATATATTCCTTGCAAGTCCGGAAAGAGAAAATGCGCAGAGATTTATAAAAACAGTTCAGAAAATCGATACAATTTCTCGAAGAAGCTTAGAGAAAACGGCTAATTTCTAAAAAAAAAAATAATTAGAAATCTCGGAAAAAAATCTAAAATCAAAGTTTTCGGAAAAAATTGTTAGGTGGGTAAATTTAAAAAAAAATATTATAAATAATATATACAATAATATTGAGAGAAACTGATTCACAAATTTCTAACAATAACAAGTAAAAAAATCTAAGTTCGGCCGGACCGAACTTTTTATACCCTCAACCATTTGGAAGAAACTTGAAAAATTTATAAAAAATTGTATACGAAATTTGAAAGAATTCCGGTGAATAACGATGCAAAAATCATCAAAATACAGAATTTCGGGAAGAACTATTATATAGAGGATATATGATATCGTGGACCTATATATACAATTCTCTTCCAGAGAGGTAATGTACTCACAAGGATTTTGTACTTTTGGGGATAAAGTACTCACAAAGTACTCCTTGTATGGATTTTCAGACAATTCCATTGAAAAATGTGGCTAAAATCGTCAAAATACCGAATATTGGGTGGTACCTTTATATGGGGGCTATACGATATCGTGAACATATATAGACAATTCCCTTCTAGGGGATAAAGTACTCACAAAGAACTAAAGTACTCACAAAGAACTTTATTTCGATGAGTTACAAACGGAATGACGAACTTAATATACCTTCCATACTATGTATGGTGGAGGGTATAAAAACTATAAGCAATACCATAGATTCTCATATATTTATTATTCATATTTATCAGTATTAAGTATTCGATCATGAATTGACAGTACATTTTATTATATATTTTGTTTGTCTTTTTATTTTATTTGCATCACACCGCCATCGACATTTTTATTCTGCACTGTAATTACAATTTACACAATTTGTTGTTGTCAAATAATTTCGTGCACCCTGTATATAAATATATACAAAACACACACGCACACCCATCTACATATGTATGTATAAATGCCATCCTGATGCCTAAAATTCCGGTTTTTGTTGCGGTATTATCGGGCCGCTTGAATAAAACATCATACACCCATCATTTTGTTACTTTATATACATACTACTATATATCCGAATCCAATGCCATGTCACCACAACTATAGATTATGTTTATCTAATTCCCGAAGATCGTCGGAAGATGAGGGTGACAATGAATCGAATACGACGGCTGACAGTGGCGCTCGTGGTCAGGAACCACACTCGGCCACATCATCGATCAGCGGTATCATGGCCAATTTAGCCGGTGGCGTAGTAAATCCCGCCGATTTGGAACAATTGGAACAGCTGTCGAAGCAATCGTGCTATGACTCTGGCATCGATATACGTGATCCCATACCAAATGTTCAACCCATACCAAAGAAAACAGTATATAGTGATGCCGATATTGTATTAAGTTCTGACTGGGTACCACCAAAGCCAATATCATCGATTACGCCACTTGGTGAATCGCCACCACGTACAAGTGGCTTAGATGCCGGTGCAGTAGCTGGGGCCCGCAAAAAGACATCGAGCGTTAGCTTCAGTGTGGATGATAACAATGAGAATCAAGCGGCGGCGACGGCGGCCCAGGCTCAAAATCAAGCAGATAAGAATGCAGCCGAAAAGAAAAATAAGGTATGTATGACGAAACACCATCAACGTTTGGAGATATTTGATTTTCTTTTTTTCCTTAGATGTTGAAACGTTTGTCTTATCCCTTGACATGGGTTGAAGGTCTTACTGGTGATGGTGCTGCTCCAACTTCTGGTGGCAGTGTGGGCAAATCACAAGACACTGAGTCGGCTCCCAACACTGGAGACTCAAATCAAAGTGTATTCTCAAAAGTATTCTCAAGGTATGTAAAAGAAGACCTAGTATCCTTCGCCCGCTATCCACAAACAAATAATAAAAAAATATTTCATTTTTATTTTTTTTTTCAAAATAATCCTTTTATTTTATTCTTAAAAAAATGCTCTCATCTTTTGGATTCGGCCTTTTAAACCAAACACCACTTTACATCCCGCATTCTTTTTTATTTACTAAACAAATTTACACAAATTTATTTTCAACAACACAAAACACACAACCTCCCCCACACACCACCATTGCATCGTGTTTTGTTATACTGCCCCTTCCCACACAACTTATATGGTTTGAATTTATTTTTTGGTTTGACAATTGTCACCGTAACACATTCGAACAACAAACACAATTCATACAAATACAACAATTCAAACATTAGTTCGCCCATTACTTTGGTCTCAGAGTTGGGTGGCAATTTATTTTCCAAAACACCGTCCGAAGATTCGAGTGGCTCTCCGGTGCCACCACTGACACCACATTCTACTCATTCTGAGGGTCATTATTCGACTGGGTAAGAAATCATAATGTGTTAATTTTAGGGTCTGATAACGTTTAACTGTTCATCACTTCCTAGTTGTGTTACCCTTCTTTTTAAAACTTGTATGTATGCCTTTGTTGAAAAAAAAAATGGTTTCTGAAAAAATAAAACCAAATACTTTACAGTTTTTGTTACAAACTATTGTAAATCTTTTTAAATATATCCACCAATTATTACTTCCTTAAAGCTAGAAGAGCACTGTTTTTGCCATTTTTCTAATCTATATATGAAACTAGGTATCATTTCTTCTTAATGTCATTTTCATTTTCTGTACTGCATTGTCATTGAAGCCATTAACTTCTTTTCTCATTCTCATTTGCGGTGTAACATTGAAATTTAAAAGAGATAAATCAGACTTTCAATTCTAAAACATCTTGCATATCATATAAATATTTATCTCGTATCACCATCATGCTTCAATACATCACTTATATAAATTGTATGAGAAACATATATACGTACATTTTTGGTGTACCCTTACTTCCTCTATGTTCTGTAGAGATGTTCAAACTTGTATGGTATTGTGTTTCCAACCATTAATACTAATTATATGTTATATTTAATTTAGACGTTCCTCAATTGGCACCTTCATACGTCCACTATCTTCGGAGGGCACTTCATCTACTACAAAATTAAAGGATACCAAACCACAGCCTAAATTGGATTATCGTTCTATGGTTTCAGTAGATGACAAACCAGGTCTTTTTGTCAGTGTTGACAGTAAGTATTGAATTATTATTATTTGTGTTTTGAATATTTATTTACTTTTCTAATAGATTGAAGTAGTTCAGTTTTAAATTGCATATTAGTACAAATCATTTTTATACATTTTCAAACAAGTAGACAATGGTTATATTGTAGATTTTTTTCTATTTGAATTTGTCGAACACTTGCTTTGATTCGAAAACGTTTTCGTTGTAACCATTTTGCCGTGCAAGATTTATTGTTTGGGTTTCCATGAATAAGGGCAGTAATCTATTAAATATCCAGTACAATGTGCAAAGCAACTGAACAATTATTATCAGGAGGGAAATTATTATCAAGAGCGTTAAGATATACGGGGTGAGATAAAAAACTGCAACAAAGTCAAACGCCATAATGTTTACTTTTTTTTAATTTTATTGAATGAAAGCAAATAATGTCGGAAATAGCATCAAATTTTACAATAAGTCATCCATTTGTTCGACTTGGTCACCTTTGGCACGAATTATGGCCTTCACATGGCCAATGAAACCGTCACACGCTTCCCGAATGTTGCTCTGCGGTATTTTGGCCCATTCCCGGCGAAGCGCTTGCTTGAGGTGATTGACACCTTGATATTTTTTAGTATCAACCTTGCTTTCCAAAATACTGCAGATACAATAGTCCAACAGATTGTTATCCGGAGATTTTGGTGGCCATTGTGCCCTGGAAATGTAACCATTTTTGTGTGGCGCGTGTTGAGTGCGATGGTGTTGAGTCCTGTAGTTTCGCGATAATATTCGGCATTTACTCTTTTGCCACCTTCCATTAATACGAGCGGAGAGCTACCATCGGCTGTTATGGCGGCCCACACATTTGGCGGTGCACATTTTCAGCTGACCTCTTTGGCATGAGGTCGTTACAAACTGCTAGACAATGAACGTTTTCTCATCGGAGAAAACCAAATTCGTCAGTTCACCACTTTCGGCGAAGCGAAGCAACTCTTTAGCTCTTTTGAGTCTATTTTCTTTCTGTTGCGGTCTAAGTTCTTGCACTTTTTGGAATTTCAATGGTTTTACTCCGAGCTCATTTTTCAATATTTGTCGAATGGAATATTGCGTATATTCAGCTCACGAGCTATTTTTCGGCCAAGTATAAAGAAATCACACTTACACGCTTGAATTCCATGACGAATAACTTTTTCTCTGTAAAATTCTCACCAAAATGCTTTTGTACGCTTGTAAACAATATAATGAGCTGTCAATGGAATAATTTTAATTTTTTTTAATGACGGTTGGTTGCAGTTTTTTCATCTCAACCAGTACTAGAAAACGAGATATAGAGTGGGTATTAGGAGGGGTCAATACGTTTCCTTTTCTTAGCCTAGGTCTTTTGTTAAATAGCTTTGAACCATAGCGTATAAGGCCATCAATAATATTTCTATCAGATAGGATTCATTTCAATGTGTCCATGCTCTTAATAGGTATCTTTGATTAGTTCAAATAGAAAACACTTGTTATCTTAAAATGTTTTTCTACACAAGAGTATACTTTTAGGCGAATTTCGATTTCAATAACATTACTTATTTGAGGATTCAAAGTGAACACAATAAGACAGAGAATATGTTTGTAAAATTCGAATTCAAATTAGAAATAAACAACAATTTACAATTGAGTTTTGCCTTATTAAGACGAAGATCATATGTTTTATGATTTAAGTGTTTGTTTTCTCTTTCGAGACGAGCTTAATGATCTGAAATTTGCAGTGAAAAGGAAAGCCAGATAGACACTATCACACACTCACCACTATGCGACGCGTTTCGCCGTTGGTTAAGCGGCTCATCAGGCATATTTGATGTGGATGATGGCTTACAAGGGCCGTTCTCTGGAAAGTAGTATAAATTTCGAACTTATTGCAAATTAGCATATGCGAATTATACACTAGAAATTCTCCAGGTTCGACTCAAGTTCTATTGGCAGATCTTTTTCACAGCAACGTTTTGTTTTTATTAGTTTGACAAATATCATCTCCGATTTCTAAAATATCGTAACCATAGCAAAATCTTATCTTTATATACATTCATAATTAATAGCATTATTTTGTCTTGTATTGCGTATCTTAAAATTGAAATTCCAATCACAACACGATTATTTTACCACTTTATCGCCTTGAACACATCTTCATTCCACATATAGTACGGGCACCAAATTTTCCAATTTTCGATATAGTTGGTATGTCATTATTTACTATTATAACTATCTATGTTATTCACCAACTTGAAGCATAAAATATAAATTGATGTAAACTATAGTAGCAATAATAATAATACAGAATTAAAAATATATATATAAAATTAGATTTAATAATCCTGTGTAAATATATAAATAAATACGTATGTGTTCATATAAATAAATATATTTTACGACCTCCCCCCAGTAGTATCCCTTAAAAATAGAAGATATGTGTATACATTTATTTAAGAACATAATTTCCATTTGAATTCCATTGTACATATATATAATATTACAATATTTTACAGCATGTTCACATACTTAAATACCTACTTGATTTACTGATATAAAATACGAAATTAATCTATATATTTTTTCTCTGTCTCTCTCTCTCTTTTATTAATAGAACTTATACCAAGACCAGCTCGTGCTTGCCCAGACCCACCATTGTATTTGCGCTTGCGCATGGGCAAACCGATAGGTAAAGCCATACCATTGCCAACATCGGTAATGTCGTATGGCAAAAATAAATTACGACCAGAATATTGGTTTAGTGTACCTAAAAATCGGTAAGTAGCTATTATATACTAAGCATAATTTCAACTTTTGTAGTTACTATTGGTAAATTACTATAATCTATTATGGGAATTCTCTAATACGTTATATTTACTCAACTGAAAGGAATTAGATAAGGACTGTAGATATTAGGACATTAGTAGCTGTGGTTTTCAACAAACCACCCAAAAGTACACAACCTGATAAAATTTGTTGGTTCCATTTCGTTAAAAGTTTTTAAAGTCAGTGCAATATTTTAAATGCCTATAATCGAACTGTATCGTTATACCAAAACATAGACCAAGAGACCATAGGCCAAAAATCACAATGCCAATCAAAAAAAAAAAAAAATCGCCAAATCTTCAGGAAAATGAGGGGGTACCCTAAAAATGAGTACCGTCAGATAGGGACTATCTACCGCGCTGCAATTATTTCCGTTGGAATATACAGGGTGAGATAAAAAAACGTTCAAAAGCATTTTACAAGCGTTCAAAAGCATTTTGGTGAGCATTTTCCAGAAAGAAAGTTATTAATGATGGAATTCAAGCGTGATTGTGTGATTTCTTTATATTTGGCTGGAAAACCACAAGTGGCTATCGTTAGACAACTCCAGCATTTAAATGTGAATAAATCCTTTGTGTCTCGTACCATCGTTCGTTACCGTGATACTGGTAGTGTAGCCCGACATCAAGGAAGTGGAAAGAAAACAGCAACATCAGCAGAAATGGTTCGAAGAGAAAAAAGCGACTTGATCGAAACCCCCGCCGAAAAATGACTCTTGATCTGAACATATCAAAATATTCCATTCGGCAAATATTGAAAAATGAGCTCTTGGTAAAGCCATTGCAATTCTAAAAAGTGCAAGAACCGCAACGGAAAGAAAATAGACTCAGAAGAGCTAAAGAGTTGCTTCGCTTGGTCGAACGTGGTGAACTGCCGAATTTGGTTTTCTCCGATGAGAAAACATTCGTTGTTCAGCAGTTTGTAAACAAACAAAATGATCGTGTTTACTTGCCAAAGAGGTCAGCTGAAATGTGCAACTTCGGTTGGCCACCAGAACTCAAGCGCCGGCCATAGTGATGTTTTGGGCCGTCATAACAGCCGATGGTCGCTCAAACATTTTGTCCGCAGACCTTGGACATCCCAACAGGAATCAGCACCATCGCACTCAGCACGCGCCAACCAAGAATGGTTACAAAATGAGGTTCCTCGCTTCATTTTCAGCGCAAAATGGCCACCAAAATCTCCGGACACCAATCCGTTGGACTATTGTGTCTAAAGTATTTTGGAAGGCAATGTTGGCACTAAAAAATGCCAAAGCGCCGATCGCCTCAAGCAATCGCTTCGACGGGAATTGGCCAAAATACCGCGGAGCAACATTCCGGCAGCGTGTGACGGTTTCATTGACCGTTTGAAGGCCATAATTCGTGCCAAAGGTGACCAATTCGAACAAATCTGAACTTATTCTCAAATTTGAAGCTTTTTCTGACATTTCTTGCTTTCATTCAAAGAATTTAAAAAAAATGTAAAAATACGGCGTTTGAAATTGTTGCAGTTTTTTATCTCACCCTGTATATGAGGACTATATAACCTTATAAGAGGACTAGGACAAAATAGGTTGGTGGGTTGGTTAGTACCGAGTATTGAGAACTCTAAATGCTGAAGTTCATACTGTCTAAAAACCGGCATGCCGCTAATAACACGCTTACAAAAACTTAGTTTCGTATTCGTAACCTATAACCTAGCTTTACATTTAGACTGCTCCATCTTCTTGGACGTATCTAACCTACATCTGCCCGGTTTAGTTTATAATGCTTGGGGTGGATTGGGTGCATTGATAATGACTTTCGTAACTGCATCAGTATAAATAATACTCAGATATTTCTGATAGTTGATTGAGAAGCAATCTCTTAACATTTGAACCTACACTTCGCGTTTGTCTTTTTGGTAGTCGTGCAAAATGTACATACATAGTTTTTGTTTTAGAACCCCTTTCGTCACTACAAAATAGACTAAGACTGAGTAGAACATCTGGCGTTAATTTAGTTGATTACTTTAGTAAATTACATAAATTGTTCAATATAATTGACGTATTTTTCCATTCGCCATTTCATTCGCAGTGTTGACGAACTATACCGTTTCATAAATACCTGGGTTTCACATCTTTATGGTGAATTGGATGAGGAACAAATTAAAGCCCGTGGCTTTGAATTAATACAAGACGACACCGAATGGACACAAAGTGGCACCACAAAGTCCGGAACACGTACCGGCAGTCAGGAGGGTGAAGAAATGAGCGATCTTACCCGCGAATCATGGGAGGTAAGTTGGTATTTTTGTTTTGAAGACCGCTCTATTTCGTAAGAGAAACTAAGAAGCTTTAAAGATCTATAGGTCTACAATTCTCTTTATGAAAAAATTCAATATTTTATTTTCTAAATATTTTCAATGTCTACTATTTATTCTTACTATATATATAAATATCTAAAATCTTTTATTTAAGCCGCTTTACAAAATTTCTAATTAATTTCTTTTATTAATATTAAAAATTTTTATCAAATGGAAAAATATTACAAAACAAAAAATGAAATTGATTGTTTCTTATGAAAATTAATTTTTTATTTCACTTTTTTTCGGAATCATTCTTTATATATGTGTATGTTAATCCCCCCACATCAAAATATAATCAGCTAATTAAGGCTCCATTTGCCAAGACCTACAACATTATTAAAACGGCATCACATGCCGCATCTGCTGATTTGGATTTATTGAGCGGCGAGGTTAGGATTAAATTTAAAATTATTTACAAAAAAAAAAAACAAAATTTGTTTTGTGTTCAAAAAAACCTAAAACAACAACACCCAACGTATTTTTATGGAAATGTATTTCAAAATTATTATCAATGAAAAACAACATCAAGTACAATTAGATGGATTTGGAAATTATTTGTTTAAATGTTGTTTGGTTGTTTTTGAATTGAAAATTATCACACTTTTTTGGTTGTAGAAGTTTTTAAATGAAAAAAAATCACCATATGTGGCTAATCACAAAAAAATGTAAAAGGCCTTCATTAAAAATTCGTTTTTTTTATTTTCTTTTTTTCTGTTTCTTGAAAGAAATGTAGTGGCATTTTTTTTTTTTTTTGTTTTAATTTAAATGTTCAATTAAGGCGAAATTTATTAGAGTAATAAAAAAGCATTCATTATTAATAGCTATTCTCTTAATTACTCTTGTAAATTACGTTTCAAATAGTTTTTGTTTTATTTTCAATTTTTTTTCATTGCCAGAAACCTTTTCTATTAAATCACTTTAATACGCCTTCAATAAGCACCAACAGCAAAATAAATTATATTTTTCTAGTTTTTGCTAAGAAAACCAAGACTCGATCTGATATGAACTTTGCACTTTCGCCTTCATAATCGTTTCACTGTTTCGACATAACATTTCATTTGCATTTATCTTTAAGACATTGTCATAACACACTCCTTTATACATTAAGAAATCGGTTTTATTTATAAATGAAATTGTTGTGAATTTTCTCGGATACGTGACCTATAAATTGTCTTGCATTCTTGTCACTTGACATATATTGTGTGTGTATATAAATACATATACGCCAAAATTTTTACATTTTTTTAAATTTTATTGAGTGAAAAAAAAGAAAAATGTAAGAAATAGCATCAAATTTTAGAATAAGTTTAGATTTGTTCGAATTGGTCACGAATTTGACACGAATTATGGCCTTCAAACGGTCAATGAAACCGGCACACGCTGCCTGAATGTTGCTCTGTGAAATTTTGACCCATTCCCGGCGAAGTGCTTGCTTGAGGTGATCGACACTTTGGTATTTTTTCTTGCCAACCTTGCTTTCCAAAATACTCCAGACACAATAGTCCAACGGATTAAATCTGCTGGTGTTACTGTCTTCTTTCGTCCACTTCCTTGACGTTGGGCTACACTACCAGTATCACGGTAACGAACGATGGTACGAGACACAAAAGATTTATTCACATTTAAATGCTGGAGTGCCCTTATGATAACCACTTGTGGTTTTCCAGCCAAATATAAAGAAATCACACTATCACGCTTGAATTCCATCACGAATAACTTTTTTTCTGGAAAATTCTCAATAAAATTCTTTTGTACGCTTGTGAACAATATAATGAGCTATCACTGGAATAATTTTAACAGCTGTCGGATGAGTGGTTTTGAAATGACAGCAGTCTGAAGTTGGTTGCAGTTTTTTCATCTTACCCTGTATGGTTAAAAACTAGAACCTCTTTAAAACAAATTAAGATTCAGACAAGTACCTTTCATACTTTTCAATATTTCAACTTCAATAATCAATTGTATTTATGTTGAAGTTATGTTCGTTCAATAACATCATAATTATCATTGAGAGTCCAATAGAATAATAAAAAAAAACAACAACACCACTTGAAGTAAATAATTATGATGATGCGTCAAGACTGTTTGACCACAGCAGCATCATCATCATCATCATGATCGATGTCGTCGGGTCCAACGTTAAATATCTTTGGCACGCGGTATTTATATGTATATCATATTGTGTGCGCGTAAATAATTTGCATGTGTTACAAATAAAGCAAAATAATATTTTTTATGAAAGTTTTATTTATGGGTATTTTGAATGGAGCAACCAAATTGAATGACTTTATAAAGAAGACGTAGTAGAAGACATTTATTTGGCAGACATTGAATTTGCAATAGGGTTATTCATATTTTCTTCTGTTTAGATGCGTTAGACGATTTTTGTTGAACGACCACTGACAATTTTCTGAATACCCTTAATATTTGTTGTATTCCTTTGCTTGGCATTTTGGGTAAACAAATTGAAAATGCCATTTAAATATTTTAACATATGACGTAAATAGATGACGTTTATATATGTATGTTGGTGTATATCTACATCGCTACGCAAAATAATAATCTGTTCATTTTTTGGATACTTCGTTAATTTTCAATATTTATGTAAATTTACTATATTTATTTCTTAAAAACTTTTTCCATACTTGAAAGTTATTCATACCTTTTGTTAAACATAAAGGAAAATACAATCTTAAAGAAATGTTGAATGCTTTGTTGTTTTAAAATGGAGTCCAACCCCGTCCATTGTAGCTGATGAACGTCGGCTGCACAGGCAGACAGGGTAGTTTTGGCGCAATTGCGTTCAGGATGGTGCAGTCGTCTCAATTCGTATTGGGCACGAATTGACGAAGATGTTCGTAACGTCCGCCCGGCGTGTGATACAGGCCCGCACAATACCCTGCACCTTTTAAATTGCTCGGTCAAATCTACCTCACTTACTCCAGAAGACCTTTTGTTATATCCCAGTAAAGTAACCTGGATAATTTTTGAACCTGGATTGGCAGAATCCCAACATAACATGTGAAACTGTTACAACAACAGCAATTGCATTGTGTTCCATGCAAATATATATATATATATATATATATATTTTTTTTTTTTTTTTTTTTTGACAACAATTACCAACAAGATGTAATATCTAATTATTTAAAACTTTTCAATCTCTTACTTTGAAATTTCAGATAAAAAAAATTGATCATTTTAACAAAATGTTAAAAAATTATAATTTTAATTAACTTATCATGTCACATCCACACCCATATACTCAACATTATAACGTATGAAATTATACATATATAGTAGCTGAACAGAGGATTTTCGTAAATTTTTCCCAACGTCGTATATTCTATGTAATTTATGTGTCATTATTTATTTTGTATAAATTTTTAATTAAGGTCACTAAACGGAGTCTACAATTTTCAATTCAATTTCTCTTTAATATATGGCGTTTGAAATACTCAATGCGTAGATTTAAATTAAAGACTTTAAACTCAGACCTTCAACTTTTTTATTGGAAAGTATTTATTGGAGTGTTATTTATTTCAATTTAAATTTTCGTTGTATTCTATGCAAATGTTTATAAAAGTGTACAACATTTTTACATACATGATCGTTTTGAAAAGATCCGATAAAACCCTTTAACGGAGATAGATAAACTAGAATTCGTTTAAGAAAAGGATACAAATATACCCTAGAGCAAAAGCTAAGAGTATAAAAAAGAATTTAGATTTTATCTCAAGTCGTATTGGTATGTCGGTTATGGCCAAGATTTATGTTTTATATTTGATAAATTTGTGTTGTATTTTAAAATCTCATCCATAATTATGAGCCTGTTTCTGTATGCCGATGCACATATGATTACATGTGACATATATCATTCCAAATAGGTTTACCAATTTTTCGATTTTTAAACGAAATATATTTATTCTTTATTCAAGATTTTTCATCGACATTTTTGGAAGCATTGTATGTGAAAGTCAGTTACACTTATGGGCTGTAGCCAAGGATCCTCTGAAGTGAGTTGGGTAGAGCAATTGAAAAGGTACAGCGTATTGTGCGCTTATCTTCATCAATGCGCGCCCAATACGAATTTGGACGGATACACTCTACCGAACATACTTGTCTAGGCAGCCAACGTTTTTTGGTTGCATTGATTGGTGGTAAACTCCAAAGATGTCATTCATACTGTAACGGTTAACTCCATCGGCGACTGCATCAGTATGAATGCTATTCAGATCTGCCTGATATGCCCTTTGATCAAAAGGCTCTCTCTTGTATCGTTGGACCTCTCTCTGACACATATGTCATCAACGCCAGGACCTGTTTTTGTAAGGCTTTGTAGGACATTTTGTTTATAACAAATATAAGCTGTATGTGCCTGATACTATCATACTTGGTCCGATCGAATTGGATCCTTACCCTAATATTTTCTATTAAAACATATTTGGGCTTGATAGCCATATTTGGGCTTAATAACCAGGACGTTGATCTATGCCACTGAAGGCTTTGAATATATTCAACCTCACGGCAGTGATTCAATAACTAACTGACTCAACCAATTTCCAATAATCATCAACTTATCTGTAAGGACTGTGGAGATCGTATAAGTCTAAAAAGTACAGGTTTTTGAGTGAATTGTGGTCCTTCTCTCCACCTGATTTCAAAAACTGGTTTTTTAATATTACAATGTTGCGTCTATTTTTATCGTCTCAATAGTCTATGCGAATAAGCATTGCAAAATGTCATTACTATAACAAAGGGTATGTTATGCATATAAACGGTTCTCCTCATGTTTCAGTTAAAATCAAATTATAGATTTTTTGAATTTTCGCCCGATATTTGTTTTGACGCAACAAGTAATTAGTACTTGAATTTTGTAACAGTTTAAAGAGGCGTTTATTGTTAATGCATTTGACAATTGTTAAAATATTTTCAACACACACTCTTCTCTCTTATTTAAACTTGTAAAATACCTCACTACAAATGTGTCAACAAATTATGTATTGTTAAATACTTGACCAACAACATCTTAGCAATCCTGAGCCACAAACTACACAACTTTGGAATTTTTGCTAGAATTTCTAGAAATGACCGAAGCACATTAAAAATTAAATCAAAACGTAACATAACATAACATTTTTATTATTTGATTCTTTATTTTTAATGGGAAATGTTTTAAATTCTTTGCATAATTTAAACTTTATTAAATAATTTAGACAGTTTGACCATGACATTCTTATTTTTATTTTAAAAAATTCCAGTTGGAATTGATAGCTGGAACCGGTCTTAAGAAATATACAATACATAACTAAAATTGGAATAAATTATGCATATTTATTTTACCATCAGTAGGTAGAAGCTACGACCCAAATTCGAAATGATGATATGTGTA